TTTTAAAGAATCAAATCATTATTTCGCATAGAAAAGAAATTTATCGATTTTTAAAAATCACCAGTATGATGTAACCTTTTAGCTGCTTCGAACTTTGGCTCATCAGCGCATGCGCCACGAATTTAGAGACCTACAAAACGTGTTTCTACCACTCTCGATTCTTCAGGAACTTACTGCTCAAGGTTATCGAGTTACCTCTCTGCCACGTTTGGTTTACTTTTTCGACGTGCTTTTCAGTAGACTCTTGCCCACCAAGAGATAAACAGCACGATAATATTATGCAAGTGATAATTGACTAGTCAGGCGTGCGTCGAATGATGGTGTCGGAAGTTATTATTGAAATGATCGCGAACAAATGAAATATCAATCAAGGATTTATTTTTCGTGCGAGAAGCGTGGACGCAATTCTCAATTTTCGATTTGAAATGGAGAAATGAGGTTATTTCGATGAATAATATCAGTGAAATTAGCAGAAACTGTGGTTTGGAATACAATGCCATCGAAATATGTCGTAGTAGGTATAAGAATAAGAATACTCATTTCGATCAATTATTTTAAGTCTTTGGTATAATATAAAGAAATATTAAAAACACTTGTATAATCAACAGTTTTCCAAAAAGAGCTTTGGGTCTTTGGATTTTAGAAATAAAATATAATACTTAAACGACACCATTTTCCACGTTTAACTGTTTAAAAATTTGTGTAAGATTTGAATATACAGTGGGTGTAGAATGTATTCATACACCGATCAATTTCCCAAAAAACTTTTGTGTAAAATTGTAGCTTCTAACTTCTTCTTTTATAATCAATGATATTTTACATATTCTTGGAAGTCTCTAAGATAGATATAGTCCAAACAACATTTACTAGTTAATATAATTTGTGAAATTAACAAAAAAATGCGAAAAGTGGATAAAAGTATAGAAGCAATAAGTATTTGTACAATTCTTATGACGAACTATTTACAGTAGAGTTTGTAACATAAACACATTAGTTTATTGCTTCGTACGAATTAGAAAACATCAAATTTCCAGTAAAGTACTTTTAAACAGTTGTGCGAATACTTATTACTTCAACATTTCTATCGATTGTTTTTTTTTTTTTTTTTTTTTTTTTTTTGTTAATTTTGCAACTTACATAAATAGCTATTTTTTTTTGTAATCTATCTATTCTAGAGATTTCCGAGAATATGTAGAATGTCATTGTGTATAAAAAATAAGTTAATTAATTACAATTTTACACAGTTTCTTTGGAAATTAATCGGTGTACGAATACTTTCTACACCCACTGTATTACCTCGAAGAGCTTAAGTCCACGGTTCCAACAATAATAAGGTATAACGATAATATTCTGTAAGTCAGTTCTCACAAATAATTTAGAACAGTAGATTAGTATTATTCATGTGATGGAAGTGTGCCATAAAAATACTGTCATCGAGTAGAGGAATCAATTAGTAATGGCAAACGTTATGAAATGTTTCTATTTGATAATTGTATTTTTCATTTTACACAATGATCAAATTGTGCGAACCTTCGATATTTAATAACTTCTGTTTGAGCGTAATGTTTCGTTTAACAATGCACTAGCATTTTTAATGAAAATATTGTTAAACATCATTTCACGTTGATCAATTTTTTCAAAACTTTATACAGTTTTACGAACTGGCGACAAATATTATTCTGGATATGAATATAATAATACTATTAACGAAGAAAATAATGTAAAATCAGTATTTTTACGTAACATAGCTGTTGTCCGAATATAAATATAATATTACTACGATAAAATATTATTGTAAATGTATATATTAAATTACATTGAAATTCTTGTTTGGCGGAATTACGATGCTGAGAACGATTAGATTTATATTTTTAAATGATTTTCAGAAACCAATTGAGAGGCAAATCCACGAAAGTGTCATTAAAATAATACATCTATTGCGTTTAATTTTGCACAAATTATCAATCAATTTACCTAATATTTTTGCTTAAATTCTATTATACTCTCAATTGTGTCACGAAGGAAAATTAGTTTTAATTTACCATTTATTAAATATTTAATTTTGTCTACACTATCAACAACATATACATTTATTAATTTTAAATTACATTCTTAGTTCATGTACCAACAATTCGACGCTTACGTATAAACATTGCAACTTACGTAAGTTTCCAACACCTAGTTGTTCTTAGATGCATTTATGAGTTTTTGTACTCATTTTGCGTTAACTCAGTTCCAAGTATTATGATTTTCCTATTTAACGCATTTTTTTATACTGACGATATATCACAAAACGGGGGAAAAACAGGGTAGAAAAATATTCCATCATGGAATTGGAAATTCCATGATGGAATATTTTTCTGTTGTTGTTCAATTCGAAAATCTTAGATTTTTTATTTATTATCATAAATTATACACGAGAATTGTCGTAGGAATGATAATAAAAAAATGTTTGTGTAACTAATTGTATGATATTTAATTAATGAATAATAAATTGACTTGATTAACATAATACTGTGAAGTCTAGGAACCTGTACTAGTCTGAGCCACGCGGTATTCTTCCAAGAACACAGTAATCAATCAAAACGATAATTTTCTCTTCGAAAAAATAATCATTCAATCGTTGACAAAATAATCACTGCATTAATTACTGACATATTATAAACTAAGCGTACGAACACATATCGATATTTCAGACGAAGTTAAAACATCACCTTATTCAACCGCACAATTATTTCAGCTCGCAATCCCCGAATTCGTAAACATTTTCTCGTTAACGATTCGTACATTGAATTACAAAATGCCAATTAACTCTTTCCGATTGTTCGCGTTTAATAATGGTACAACCTGTCTGGATTAATCAACAACCGCAATCAACCGCGGGGCATTTTTAACGTCAGTTAAATGCGAGCCGTCGAACAATTCAGCCTTCCGTTTCTTCGAGTGGAGGGATTTCCCAGATATATTCACACGGTAAACCGGTTTCCACGGCACTCTCGTCGCTCACGATTAAAACATCGTTGAAAAAGGAAAAGCAAACAAACAAACAGTGGCCAGTTTCATTGTTTTAACGAATAATAATGCTTCTACTTAAACCACTTTCGTATTATTATATTCATTCCTCCATCCAGATTATACAGAATTCGCGGAAGTTTGTGTAACTACGAATAGACATTGTGAAGTCACCAAGTGAAGAATGTATAGATAACTACGTTTACTAAGGGGAAGCTTGAAGTTAGGCTTGAACTCGGTATAAACAGAAGATCGACATCGAGATCGAGATTCTCAATTATTCTTGTAATTGGTTTTGAAACGTTGAAAAGATCGTTCGGTTTATATTGTTTATGGATAGTGTTAAGTACGAATTCTTTAAAGAGAAACTATTATGGAAAAACAGCTTTTTGCAAGATTGTGATGATTAGACTGCGGATCTTTATGCAAAATAAAATCTTCGCGAACATGCCTACAAAAATTGAACCTAAATAGGAATTTATTTTATTCTGCAAATATTATAATATGAATTTTACTTTTGTTAGAACGGGCACAATCTTTCTTAGTACGTCACTGCGATCGCCTCCACCGTTTCGACCGTTTCGACACGTCACTGTCGATCCTTGTTCTTTTGTTCTACAATAGTATCGTATCGATTCCGCGTAGCACGCGGTGATGGTTTTACACGGTTCGCATAATTATATTTTCATATATTTATTTTATAATAAATAGTTATTAACGTAACTGGTCTTGTTCACTGCCCTCGGACATATCTAACAACTTTCAATCTTTTTTATGTTCTTGCATATTGTTTGCATTTCGTAGGTTCTTGCGCATTCAAATTTCGTATAAATACATAAAGATCCGCAGTCTAGTAATAATACAACCTTGCAACGCGGAGATATAGTTTATGCTAAAAACGGTTCGAAATCGAATATTTTAGGAATATTAAATATTTTTCTTATCGATTTTTGTAATGGATTATCTTTCCAGTAACATGTTATTATTATATCACGATATCTTTATAAATAACTTTATAAATAGCTGTAGAAATAAGGAAACAGGATTTTGTTCCATGGTCATATCCGAGAAATGTCAGAAAATTTTTAACAAATGCATGATTGTAAACAAAAATGTATATTTCGGTCAATTTTATTTTAAGGTTCATGAAATTTTTAAACAATACTAAAAACGTGTTAAACTTCCATTATTACTAAAAAAATAAAAAGAATACGTTATAGGTTTAACAAAAAATAAATTTGTATAAAGAAAATATCTTTAGAAAAACTTAAACTTGAATTTTGTTTTTGAATAAACATAATTTATTGTCTGTTAAAATGAATCTTTTCAGTTATTGTTTCTTTATTTATAATTGTTATACATAAACATATGATTTTGAAATAACCGTTCACATACAATTGTGCTCTTTGAACACAATGCGTGGATGTCTTTTTTTTACACAAGTAAATCTATGTGCATTAGATATTGACATTGTTTTCGTAAAGCAAAATTGATTTTTTAATGAGTTATAGCACTTACAGCTTCGAGCAGCGATATATCGCACCTTGGCACTTAAAGGGTTAAATTCTCTAATGATAATACAGAAATATTGTTACAAAATTGTTAGACGTCACAGGCCAACATTGGTTAGAATTTTAGTCCATTATATACAAAATAATTTGTCCTTGAAGAGAATATAGCAAATGTGAGGTTTCACGAAGCAATCCACGACCTTCCAATGCCAAAAATTTCCCCCTCTAGCCCGAGGCCCTGTCTTTTCCTGTTCTCCATTTGCGCAACCCGCCAGTCGTCGCCTCTCCAACCAGCGAACGAACAATGAGGGAAGGGTTCGATCCGCGGGGTACACGGAAAAGTAATTAGCGTCGTCGGACCGTGTCGTCGTACTTCATAAAAGCTGGAACGGGAGTGGGACACCGATAAAATCGCCGCGAGTTTCCCGTGTCCCCGTGTATCGCGGCCGAGTTCAGTTTCCTTCTTCGCGTCTTCGAGGATGAGATCGACTCTGTCTCTCGCCAAGAGCATTCGATCGTCTCTTCCTGAGACTCTCGCGCGTACAGATACCTGCTGCGACCATTCTCGGCTGAGGAAACTCTGACGAGTCGGACGCAGATCGACCAAACGTGCGGAGAACAAGCCTTTCGGTTCGTCTTCGTTGCCATACGTGGCTGGACCAACGAAAAAAGTTTCTGCTGTTCCCCCGGAATGTTCGAATCGAAAAAGTGAAAGGAACTCGCTGGGAATCGTAGAAGATTCGGCGAAAGAAGAATCTTGTCTCGGAAGTTGTTCCATCTAGGAATAGTGGCTCGAGTGTCTTCGGTCGATCGCGACGTTTTGGTAGTCGTTCCACGTTGGTAAATTAATTTTTCTTTCTTGGGTCCTCGATTACCTGGAAATTCGTTTAGTGAGCTCTTGGTTGCATTCGGTAATGAAAGAAAAGATGAGGGTCTTTGGAGATAGATTTTATTATTGATTGCAATTATATTAGAGTTGGGATACATTTTGACTCGAAGTCTTTTCGTTTAGAGACATTTTAATATATTGGTATCGATTTTTCTGAATTTCTAAACTCTGCGTTTATCTTGGATTGATTTGTTGAAATGTGTGAGATACTTAGATGATCGTAATACTAACACGAGTAGGATATGAAATTGGGATTGACTTATAAAGTATTGCTATGGATGACGTGTTTGTAAACATAGTCAGTTTTATGAATTGCTTTGTATAAATCCTACTACTCCATGGATATCGAGGAGATTTCAATTATGCAAATAGTACAGTATTTTCGATCAATTTCAAGATGATAAACGATGACAAAAGTAAGCTACGAAATTACATCGTTTATAAAATAAATATTTCACCTTTTGGAAATGTAAGTGTATACGCTGCTCGTCATTTTCAAATCAAGTATCGTGAAAGACATGATATAAACAATGATCAAAGTATCATTATATTAGATTATATTGTATTACTTAATTTAAATTCTTTTTAATAAACGAAAGTTGATTGATGATTTTTGTGCAATTTTTGTAGCAGTAATAATTTATATATTTTGTAATTTTTGTTTAATTTTTGTAGTTATATAATTCTAGGTATTAACAATCTACTTTTCAGTACTGAAAATTACCTAAATTAAGGATCAACACATTTCCATTAAATGCTTGTTCAGATTACATTTTTCAAATACTATATTTGATATTTGTTTTGAAAGAAACGAGCAACATATATACTTATACGTTTAAAAAGCAAGAAGTTCGTTATTTAAATAATTCATTGTTTTATCTTACTGTTGATTTTGGTGTCAGCTATAGGTTATTGAAAATATCAATTTTGCGTACGCATAATTGTTATTGTGTTATATATTATGTTACACTTTTGTCGCTCTTAGATAAACTTATCGCACGTCTACTTAGTGCTTTAATGTACTTTTCCTATAAACCTCTAGTCTAGGAATCGAGAACAAGTCACAGATTGTGAATTGCGAGATGTCCCAATTTTACAACTCTTCGCGATAGATTGTTAAATTTATTGCCTTATATACAGGGCGTGATGCTTATGATAAGTACATATGTATATTTGTATAACTAATTGCACATTTATTTTTAGTTACACCAAATTAATTGAACAAATTTTCCTTGGTTTCGAAGGGAACATAATTGAATATCAGTCTCATTTTTCTTGCGTTATTAATATAATTTGTAATGTTTACCTTTCGAAATTTGGTATCTGTTTTCTTGATTATACACTTACAATGCTCAATTTGAGAAAATCAAGAATATTGTTGATAAACCTAGTAATATTATGTAACAAATTAATGTCACCCTAATATTAACAAATTAATATACAGCACAGCTTCTTAAACTTTTTTCATTCACGACCTCATTTATGATTGTGATTTCATCTAGACTTAGCTTCCTACCAGTTTAAATTAAATGCAATGGACACAATATGATAAAGTTGTATCAAAGGGAATTTTATCAAAGGGAACACTTGACATTTGTTAAACATTGGCACGATCGCAACAGAGCTACGTATGAAGATGTTTCAGGAAAATAACCTACTCATAAAACAATGTAACCTTTCAGTATTTCATTGACAGCTGAGAATTCGCGCGCGAAATTGCCATCCCAAGAGTGTTGCATTAATCAGTGACGCGAGTTGTTCGATTTGTCCAAGAGGTTTCGCTTTGTATTTCAACAAAAATGAAAAGTCTTGTCTCTCGATGTGTTCGATTTGGTACCGACACAGTAGCGTGATTGGTATCCGGTGTTCCCATACTTTTCTTTTTCGAAATGGTCGGCCCCGACGATAACGCAATGTCATGTACAGACTGCGCCATGAAACGTGGGCAAATACTCCACAGATAAATTCAACATCGGCAATACGTTCGTCGTATTTCACCTTGCGTCTCAATTATTCTCACCGTTTAACAGGTTCCAGTGACAAGGGAGCATCGCAAGCTGTCGGACACCGATTTTAATGAAAACTTTATACAAATGTTCTTCAGTTCTACGTAAGGAATATGTCGCATTTCGTTGCTGATACTTTTTATCTGCGAGAGAGAAATCGTCCCTTGTTTCCTGGACTGAGTGAGTGAGTGAGTTTTATTTATAAGCGAGTGGAGTCATATAACTTGACTATAACACTATATACATTCATTTAATTCTTGCTGTTCATAACTTTTCATTTTCATTTACTTAGATATATAGATAGATCTCTTCATAATTCTCCCATTAGAGATACCAGTGGTCCATTGGGACTCTCTATAGCTCGGTGGAGTCACTTATTTTATTCGTGCTCGTACTAAAAATCGAGGTTACAAGTTCAAAGTTGATTTTAGGACACAAAACAATTGCTCAATAATTTTTGATGACACAGTATAACGCAAATGGTGATAGTCAAATGGTAAGAACCTATAATTCAGCAAATTTTATATATAGTATCTAGTATTTACTCATCAATCAATAAATTATGCATGACACATATACATTAATTTCGTAAGTTTTGATTTTCGAAAATATAATAAATTTAAAAGAGAATTAAATTTCACATATAAAATAAAATCGTACTTTATTCTACCATCTCTAATCGAGACAAATTTTTAAACGATCTTAGTTTCTCACATTTTTTCAACACTTAATAAACTTATTTAACACACCAAGCGTTAAACTAAATTTCATAAATCCATACTTGAAAAATGCTTAGCACCGTTATTAAGTTAGCATCTTGTAGAACACTCTGCTCTCTATTTTGAAGTGTCGCACAGTGCGGACAAATAACAAAATTGTGGACAAAAATCAAAATTTCATTACTAATATAAATACATTGCTATTTATTCACAAAAAAATTAAAATTAACCATAAACATTAATAAAATCACAACAAAATTAATAAATTTAACACAAAATTAACAAACCCCGACTTTGATGAAACTTTGTATACTTGTTTGAGGGACCTTCTTATGAATTACACCATCCTCAGTACGTGCGACTTTTGCGTTTTGAGGGAGAAATTAACGAGGGAGAAACGATTAGAGATTTCAAAAAAATGTCAAAATCTCAAAAAAAACATTACACTGTTTTTAGAGCTCTGTAAACCAATACCAACAAATTAAAAACAAAAATTGTTTTTTTAAATTACCCCCCCCCTTTCGAAATTTTTGAAAATTTTAATTTATTTTAGAATCAGTAAAAACGTTTTTTTAAATTCTGAATCCAACGGTATGTATGAGTTTATGATTATCATACAGGAAAATGATGTAATATTGTAAAATTGTCCCTTTAGTAATCCATACTTCGTATTCTTCAGGAATTTTTTTCTCATAAATAATAGAAGTTGCTCCTATATGTGATTTAACAAAATATGCTTCGTTTTGACCAAGGATGTGAGAAATAATTTTTATAATAATCCATAAATCAATTAAATCAGAATTTTTAACTACCAATTGCGACCCTACACCAACAGTACGATTCCTTATTAAAAATGATGTAAAACCGAACGTTGCAAGTACTTGCAAGAAAACATATAAGTTTCTTAAAATATAACAAATAATGTATCCAAATATGTTGAGAACACAGGATATTTTTTGCCGTTTTGTCTGGATGTTTATTTAAAGATAAAGATTGTATTATGGATACGAATGTTTGATACATGATTATTTATAACAATTTCCACGCTGACACACGTTTGCTATGATAGAAATCTGCCTCACCTTGTGATATGTTCTAATATTGAATTTTGTCCACTTATTCCGCACCGTGATGTCGTGTTGACAGAAAGCTAGAGCTGATCGAAAGCGTGACCGTGCACGATAACGATTCAACGAACCGTACAGTTTCACCTGTTGTTTCGATGGGTCGATCGGTTCCCCTGTTGTCGGAAAGAGAAAAATGGGAAGCGCCAGGTGGTATGCTAAATATCAAATTAATCGCAACTGCTACGATTTCCAGTAATCCTATCATCAGCCGCTGCAGTTTCAATATTTACTCCAACGCGAGACATCACTTTTTATTATTGCTATGCGACTGATCCCGAAGTATTCACCTTGTCGTTATCGTCGATCACGCAAATCATGGTATTATCGTCACATCGATCGCGGTAACACTATTACAAGCACGTAACCTTGATGATATTTACCTAATTGCGATTCTTCGATTAACCTTTCATTGTATACAGAAGAAACGGTTGAATTCCTCTCGCCTTTATAGTTGAGTCATCGTATCTTAATCTCAATCTTAATCAATCACACTTTTTTTTTTTAGGAGTTAGATTTTACGATAGATGTATCGATCGTTGAAATATATCAGTAGTTTTCAGTTATTGTTGTTTCATAATTCTTTTTAAGATATCATGTTTTGTAGGTATTCGTAATTATAGATAGTTGTTCGTCGTTTTCCATCCTTTCCAGGGTAATATATTGCATTATATAGAGACAAACGTGACTATTTCTTCTTTGTTGATATTTCCAGAATATGTCCAGTGTAAATATTGTCTATAAATATGTGTAGAAATGTATATTAATATAGATATCAATATTTGAATATCAATATTTTAAAACAATTATGCTTGTTGAGTATTAAAATAAACACGTACTCGTTCAATTTTAATTTGAAAACAAAGTCATGCTGTTTCAATTTGAATTCGCAAATGAAAAGATGTTTCTTTAATTTAAATATAAACTAAGAACTCATGCTTGTTTAATTTGGATTTCAACTGAAAAAACATACGTTTGCGAAACAATAAAGATTTAAATTGATTCAACACAAAAGTAATTATTTAAGATGTTTTTATAACATTTATCGGACAAAGATACTCGCGTTGCTCGGTTGATCTCAATACAAAACTGTCGATTGTCGAACAGTATCCGAGAAACTTTAACGTGTTTGCGACACGAGCAGATAAGACTGAACATGGAATGTGGTGGACACGGTTACAGAAATTGAACTTCTATTAAAATGGGTTCATGACTGTCTTTTTACAGCTGTTCCGACAATAACCATGTAGACTTTTTATGTTGACTGTGAAATAGGAATAAGAAATGAGAAATCTGTGCGGTTATTTTAATTTTCGTGGCATAGAATAGGTTTTAAATGCGTTTCTTATGCTGACAATGAGTCACCTGAGATATATAATTGTTTCACCTGTTTAACATTTTTGATTCGTCGAGTAATAAGAACCACCGTTGTCTTTTACAATTATGAAATCCAATTTAATTGGTCTGAGACGATAATTTTATATTCTTTTACAAGGTATAACAATGAATGATAATAATATCAAACATTTCCAATTTATTTTCAAAGCAATTTGTGTACAATTTTATTTTTATCATTAAAATTTATTATATGATATTGTGATTATATTTGACTCTATTGAGATATTATTTCACAAATGTAACGATTGATAGAATTAGTAAGTATTAATTAGTAAGAGTTTAAAAGAAAAATCAATCATATATGTAGTTAAATAGATTTACTTTAAGCAAATGTGATGTGTTATGCATGGTGTTTCGATTAAATCGGAATAGTCAAATATCTCATGAAGGGATTAAGATATCAAAAAATTGTTTTTACATCAAATATTTCGTACAAAGAGGGACTTTATATATAGTACATAAACATTTTTTAAACAAATTCGTGTTTTTAAATTGGTCCTTATACATTTTAATCCATAATAAGATAGCATTTGTTTAGATAAATTAATCGACCTGAGATGTGATTATTTATTGTAATATAAACCTTTGAACTAAAGGTTGGGACTTCAAAACAAATTGAACATGACAGTTGTAAATTTAACAAAATATTATCCATACATTTATAAAGAAACATACCTTCCAAATTTTTAAAGTTTACGTCAATTGATTTGCCTGAAAAAAATATATAATCATTATCTCGAATTCTCTAAAAAGAAAAGAATAAGAGAGCACCTTCTTAAGTATTCGTGAAAATTTCACGTTAAGTTTCTGTAATGACGTGAACGGGTCAAGTGTCTCTGTAAAATGAATCTCCTATCTGCTCGTAAAATATAAAAATGAACGGCGATAAATATTACGACGATCTGTTTTAACGTTTCGCAAAACTTAACTGCACTCCGTTACCCGGCCAAACTCGCAAAACGGGTACCGGTTAACGAATCAACGAATAACGAAGCCAATTTCAGGCTCGCGCAGCGAATCAAATTTTCTCGTTATCCGTTTCACACGGTTCAGCTTTGCAGTGGATGGCTCGTGTGGTTTTCACGTTGGCAACAAGTGTTCGCCAATTCGTGAACCTGGGGGAGCAACTTATTCGCGACCTGAAAAAAATCGGGTATGAAAATCGAACCAGTAAGATGTACTCCTTGTTAACCCTTTGACTGTGTGACGGTTTTTGTTGGAAATAAGGATGATTTCTACTTCTTTTGAAACTGTGATGTTGTAGTTGGATAGTTCTTGATAGATTTAGGTTTCTACTTTCTTTTTCGTATTTTTGGCATTCTGTTAAAATATGTTCCATTAATTGTTCTTTAATATTCGAGTACGTTTTTTTAGAAATGTACAGTGTGAAATTTACAAAGTGCATATATCTGGAGTGTACTATTTTCGGAGAAATTGTGAACCAAGAGAAGCTTTTGAAGTTTTTTTTAGAAATGCACAGTATGAAATTTACAAAGTGTATATATAAAGATCTTTTTTTGGAAAAAATCTCAAACAAGAGAAACTTTTGTACTAAAAAATTCCGATTTAAATGGAACTTCAGGTGAATTTAAAGCATACTCATGAATACAAAGAACAATTTCTCATGATTTATCTTATAATCTTAAAATCTATCATTCATTCTTGTATCTGGATTATTATATCTTATTATATATCTTATATCTGGATCTATTAGTTCCCCATTACTCACAACGAAGGATCGTTCAAACAAAATCGTTCATCTTCTATTTGTTATCCAGAAGTTATATCTATAGAAGAAGTCTCTAGCCTAAGAAGGACCTAACCCTGGCTACGTGACTTTAGAAATATGTAGGATTCATATGAGCTCCTTTTTTTCATTCTTTACGTGGACTGAATGCAGACTCGAGGTTACAATCGCCTTTTATGGGACACCGAGTATCCATTTTCCCCCATACGAGAATCTCAGTTTTTGCTACATGTTGGAAAACGCAATCCTTCGGGATTGTATTTTTCCACTGAAGTTCCCTCCCGACGTGGATACGCAAAATAATTTATGACGGTGTTTTTCCTCGGCGAATATTTAGTTACGAAAGAAAATCCCACACGGACGAGTGCTTGAATTATTATACCCGAGTTATCTGACGTTCCGCGCGCTCTGGCGTGCGCGAAAGCAAGCTACGCGAGCACGAATTTCGATTAATAAATCGCAGAACCGGAAACGAAGTAGCAACCTACTCGAATCTTCCCCTTGTTTT